CAACGTTCCTGCTGGTAGTGGCAGCAACAGTTTTCGCTCACGTAGATACCATTGCTGGGTCTAGCTGAGCTAAGGAAAGTGTACTGCTGATACCAAACTGGGAGATGGTGTTGACTCTTTCAAGGGACAAGAGCCTTGCAGAGGGATGTGGTTGAACTGGAACATTGGACAGTTATCAATGGCATGAAGTTTAACAAGTGCATATATCAGATTCTGCGCCAGGATGGAGTATGCTGGGTGAATTTAACAAGTACAAATACCAGATTCTTACCTGAGATGGAGTACTGCTGGGCACAAGTATAAAGTGAGACACAGGCAGCTGGAAAGCAACCCTGCAGAAAGGGACCTGGGGGTAGGTGGTCAGCACCTCACGGTGAGGCAGCAGTGTGCCTTGGCAGCCAGGAGAGCAAACCCCATCCTGAGGTGCATCAGACACAGCATCACCAGCAGGCCAAAACAGGGGATCATCCTGCTGTGTCCAGCAGAGGTGCAGCCTCACCCTGAGTACTGTGTGCAGTGCTGGGCCCCACAGTCCCAGAAGGATGTGAAAGTTCTTGAATGCATCCACAGAGAAGGGCAGCAACGCCGGTGGAAGGGCTGGAAGGCATATCTTGTGAGGAGTGGCTGAGCACTCTGGGTTTTACTGGTTTGGAGAGAAGGAGGCTGAGCACCTCATTTGTCTGTACAGTGTCCTGTGGAGGGGATGTGAGGAGGGAGATATTGATCTCGTCTCTCTGGGATTCGATGGCAGGACACCCAGTGAATGCATCCAGAGAAGGGTAATGCTGCTGGAAAGGCTGGAAAGCATGTTCTGTGAGGAGTGGCTGAGGACTCTGGGTTTGACTGGTTTTGAGAGAAGGAAGCTGAGGGGTGAACTCATTGCTCTGTACAGATTCCTGAGGAGTGGATGTGAAGAGGGAGGTGCTGATGTCTTTTCCCTGGGATCAAGTGACCAGGACAGATGGGAACAGTTCAACGGTTCAAAGCTGTGCCAGGGAAGGTTCATGCTTGACAACAGGAATAATTTCTTTTTTTACCAAGGGCGATGGGGCTGGTGAAAGGTCTAGAGTAGTTGTGCCAGGGAAGGTTCAGACTGGAATCTAGGAAACATTTGTTTACCCATGGATTGGTCGACAGTGACTTTAGTAACATGCTTTAACTTTTGTTCAGCCCTGAATTGGTCAGGCAATTGAACTAGGCAATTGTTGCAGGTCCCTTCCAACTGAAAACTCAGGGGAGACCTTATCGCTCTCCACAGCAACCTGAAATGAGGTTGTAGCAAGGTGGTTTGAGGACATAGCCTCAAGGTGTGCCAGAGGAGGTTCAGGTTGGACTTCAGGAAGAATATATTCACTGAAAGGGTGAGTAAGCATTGTAATGGGCTGCTTAGGGGTGTGATGGACTCACCACTGCCTTTGGTTCTGTACTTTGGCATCTCCCAGATTTCAGCCCAAGATACTTAGACTCACTTGGAAAATTACTCTTTTCCAGCTTTACCATATAGTTTAACAAAATAAATTCCCCCTGGCTTGCTTGTCTTTAATTCAGAGCCAGTAAAAGAGATTAAAGTGGCTTCTTTGTTTCTGTCACGAAAATTCCAGTTAAAATCAAAATAGAAAATTACTACTTATAAATATTCTAAATCAAATTACTATGGTTTAGTTGACAAGGTAGTGTTCGGTCCAAGGTTTGACTCTTATTATCTTGAAGGTCTTTTTCAACCTGCATGATTCGATTATCCTAAGAGGGTGGTCAAACATTTGAACAGGCTTCCTGGAGAGATGGCTGTTGCCCCAGACCTGTCAGTGTTTAAGACATGTTTAGACAATGACCTTAGTAACGTGCTTTAGCTTTTAGTCAGCCCTGAATTGGTCAGCTGGTTGGACTACATGATCATTCTAAGTCCCTTCCCACTGAAACACTTCTATTCTTTTTGCTTTGTGCATAGCTACTTCCGAAACCTACAAGAAGCTGGAGCTTATTTGCCACTGATGTCCCTGAGAGGATGTCCACCAAGACTTGGTGCTATTGCATCCAAACTGTGGACTGGGTCTCTAGATAACAGTGGTGTTTCAAGCTAGCTTTCTGTTGTCGGCTACAAAGCTGCTTTCATCCAGTTAAGAGTCTGAAAGTCACCCCTGTGATACAAGTGCTGACAAACACCAGCTTGGTTCTGTTGTAGGTAGGGCCTTTCTGTTCATCACAGTGCTGGTGAAGTGGGAGAATAACATCTCAGGTCAATTTGTAAGGTAAACTGAGTGTTTACAGCAGCACCAACAGAAATAAAAGCATAAAAAATAGAGAACACACATATAACAACCTGCTTCTGTTTTGGTTTGGGTGGTTTTGTCCATTCACTTTCCATGCATAGGAAAAGGATCCTCAGTTACATGTTTCTAATTAATTCAACAGAAAAGAAGTCACAAAGCAGGGTTGTGTAAGTCTTCATACTTTCCTGATACTCCATAGTGAGGAAATTGCACATACCTTTTATGCTGATTGAAACTTTAAATGTTGGAAATTCTTCTGAGTTTTAGTATCTGTAGAAGTGTTTTTAATTTAAAATGTCTGTATAATATGAACATGAGACTTACAAGAATTTCAGCTTTTGTCAGAATAATAAATATGTCATTTTGCATTCTGTTTCAGGGAATTCACTCACTCTCTTAGCATAAAAGAAAATGTCCACATCTAACATTGCAGCAAGAGTGGAAACTTGGCTTTCAGCCAGGTGGCATGTTAGAGTTCCTTTGACGTGGCTGGAAGCATGTATTAATTGGATCCAGGAAGAAAGTAGTGGTGGTAACTTAAGTCAAGCTCAGATTAACAAGCAAGTATTTGAGCAATGGCTGCTTACTGATCTAAGAGACTTGGAATATCCTGTTTTGCCTAAGTGCATCTTAGATACCCCCAAAGGAGAGTTTTCAGGCTTCTACTCCATACAAATTGATGCACTGGTTGATGTTAGCCAGCCAGCATATTCTCAGTTGCAGAAGCTGAGAGGGAAAAGCACTGTAAATGAAGAAGTAACAGCCTGTACTCAGACATTTCAGAAGCCCTGGGAAGCAAAGCCTACTCGAATGCTGATGCTACAGCTAACTGATGGGATACATCAAATTCAGGGCATGGAGTATCAACCCGTGCCTGTCCTCTACAGTAATCTTCCTCCCGGAACAAAGATCACTGTACATGGTAATATTGCATATCGTCTTGGAGTCCTTCTCCTTAAACCGGAAAATGTGAAAGTGTTGGGGGGTGAGGTGGATACTCTTCTTGAGGATTATTCTCAGGAAAGGGTCCTTGCTAGATTAATTGGAGAAACTGAAAACCCTAGTTCTGCTGGACAAGCTGGTCGTGAACAAGTTATTCCAAGGCCTGTGGACGAATTAGAACAAACTCTTGGCCCTTTGGATGAGGAGCTTTTAGCCAGTCTTGATGAAAATGAATTTGCTTTAAACAATGAAACATCTTTAGAAAGCGGATATGGCAGCAGAAGCAACAACTTTAGTACAGCCTCAAGTTCACTGACTGCACACAATGGAAATGTTTTGCTGCAGAGCTCTGTTAGTCCTTTGCTTCATTCAGATGAACGAGTTTCGCCTCCCATAGAACACGCTGACAGCTTTTCAAATGACTTTCCTTTAGAAGATGATTTTCTTCTGGAAGAAGAGGTGCAAAGAGAGCTGGAAGAAGAGTCACTGGTGGTCATGAACAGAGATGTAGGTTTAGTTGCAGAGAGACTTCCACATATATCTAGAAGCTCCTGCAATTCATCTTTAAATGACACTTGTGAAAAAGATGATGTGAATGAAAGAGAGAAGCCTATGGAAGCTACCAGTGAGGAAAAGAATTTTGGAAGAGCAGTATTTCATGAAGATCGAAATAATATGAATAGGTTTTTTGAGTACAAAAATCAGAGCTGCAGTTCTGCAAATTTTTCTTTGGAAAATCCTTCTGAAGAAAGGCAGAATGAATTGGGCCTAGATGAGAGCAGATGCAAATCCCAGCACACTTCTGACAGCAGGGTGTTAAATGGTGATCCTGTATGTTTCTCAAAAGTAGATCCAGAAGCAGATCAGCAGAAGCATGATTCACAGACCTTTTGTGGCAGAGCAGTAGAGGCACCTTTAGATCTAGATTCTCCACCTTTCACATATATTTCCCTTCTCCTTGCAAGAAAACCAAAGACTGTTACTATTCTGAAAGTTAAGTGTTTTATTGTTACTCTCACTGGAAACCTCACAAACAGCAATGGATCGTGGGGTATAAAGGCAAAAATTTCTGATGGTTCTGCTTACCTTGAAGTAGATTTTGCTAATGATATTCTAACAAGCTTGATTGGCTTTTCAGTGCCTGAAATGAATAAGATGAAAAAGGATCCAGCTTTACGTTTAAAGCTTAAGGATGGTTTAGAGAAATGTCAAAAACAACTAGTAGATCTCTGTTGTTTGATGACTATTGAGTTTGATCCAATTCAGTCTAGAGCTACTGTATTAGTTCTCCAGGATGTTGATGCAAGGCATCTGGAACAATTGAAGAAACGGTTAAATAAATAACATGTGCAAACTCACAGACTGTGTATTAGAAAGTATTTAAGTCAGACCTGTCCCTGTCTCTTTGCATTTGTGTTAAGGTGTAGCCATATCTGCTAGAAGAAGCTCGTATGTCTTCTATCCTCTTCCTTCTTCCCCTTCACCTCCCACCTTCAAGACAGTGTTGCTTGTCTGACTCCTTCTCCTCCTCCCATTGTCCTTGTCTTCATTTTCAAGATGTGCTTCCTGGAAGGCTACTGTCTTGCCTGTTGTCCAGGGCAAGCAAGAAGGTAAATCTCAGTACTACTAGCTGTTTACAGCTTGACTGCTCTGCAGGTATTTCATTGCAATTTTCTGCTGTATAAGGTTTCCAGATCTGTGATTAAGCCTTTAGAATTAATGAGAAGTATTGCAAAGGTTTTTCCAACAAGAGAAGGAATGAAATTAGTGATACTGAGAAATCATGCTTAGTTAAGAGCAGTTTGTCAAACAGAAAATGGCATATGTGGCTGTTTGTACCAGTCATTGGTTTCTGCCTCATCCACTTTATTTGCTCTCAGGACCAACTTCTCTACTACCAGCCTTTATGTTTTTGTGCGGTGTGTATGTAATGTTTGTGTATACTGCCTCACTGTGCTGAGCAGTGGCATGTGTCAGTCCCTCAGATAGTGACACACTGCTTGCAGGCTGAATTCAGAGCATGGACTGCAACCCCAGCTGACCATGGTTGAGATCTGTAGCAGAGATATGGCCTGGCCACATTTCTGCTGGAGAGTGCAAGAGAATTCCCTGTACCAGCTGTTGAAGGCAACTGTCCTGGCAGCTGCTCTCACAAGTTACAACTGAACGCCTAGCAGAAAGCAGTTTCTGCTCATTCTGTCTTCTCCATGCTGTATCACTCACTTTTTCTTGCTAATACTGTTTCAGCTGCAAAGTAGACTTCTGCAGTTGCACTGTATCTGAGTGCAGTTTCAGAAAGTGATGTTCTTCAGGCATGTATTCCTATTCATGTGAAAAATAAGCTGCATTTTTTCATTGTTGATCACAGTGAAAAATTCCAGTTCAGCTTCAATAAATACAGTATTCTCACACAGTGACACGGATGTTATTATGTTAAGGATGAATGTTTGTTCTTCCTGCCTTTCTTACAGTTATTAAAGAAAATTAAGACAATAAATTGGCTATGGCAGTGCCAGGTTTCTGCATCAGAATATCCCATTTGAAAGCTCTGTCATTAAGGCAGGCTAGTAGTAAAGAGAAAATTCTCAGAAACTTTGCAGTGCCCTACTTCTTTTAAAGCTATTTGCTCTGAAACTGTAGAACAAGGCAGTGGCTAGTTCAAGGAATGTGGCAGGCTTCCAAATAAACTACGCTGGCAAGAATAGCTTCAGGACTTGTCTAATCCTACTGGATACTAGTTTGGCCACAAAGATGCATGTTGTTATAACTCAGCAACTTCCTCCTTGTTGAATGAAGGCAGTGTCCTAAAGAAGCAAAAGCTAGTTGAGATAACATAATTTTTAAGTATCAGTGAAGAATCTGAAGGGATTTCTTAAAACGTGTTCTGGACTGCTCCAGTTATGTGACTTCACACTAAAAAATTATATATTTCAGGTCATATCAAAAGCACAAACTTTCACAGTATCTGAGTATGGAACATGATTAGATGGAACAGTAAACATAACATTTGGTTCTAAATACAAAGTCCTATTTCTTAGTATCTTGATATAATAATGTCAGACATTCTGTTTAGAATAAAGAGACTAATTTTAAGCTTTTTGTTAAAGGGAGGGAAGAGTGATTTTAAAATACAGTACTTCTGTGTTATCTGTGGCAAGCAAACTTAAATGTATTTATCTGGGAGGAAAGGGCTAAAAGGATTTCTAGGTATAAGAAATACCTCTCATTTCATGTACAATTCTCAGTCTTACAGTACTGGAAGGAACAGAATATCAACAGTAATGACAGCAAATGAGATCTTAAGGGTAACCCGATGTTGCAACTCTGTTGAATTCAACAGAAGAGGCAGACGTTTCTTATAAGTAAGCTCCTCATCTAAATGTATATGTAACATAATTTTGTATCAGTGTGTCACTTTTTAATCTTTTATTTCCTTAAGGACTTTTTTCCTAATTAAACTGGCGTTTCTAACAAGATGAAATTGCAGTGTGTTTCTGTCAGAATTTATCCAGCTTCTGATTCTTAGTCTTAAGGCTGAACAAACCCGGTTCTTTCATCCTTTCCAGGAAGTGGCATGTGCTCCAGCTCCCTGACCACCTTGGCAGCATCTGCTGGTCACCTGCTTCGCTGTGTTGGATTTCTTGTGCTAGGGAGCTCTAAATAGGACACAGTACTCCACATGCAGTCTCACAAGTGCTGAAAGCAGAAGGCAGCTTGCTGTCTTGGACCTGCTTGCTGGCTCTGATAGAGCCTGATCATCACCACCACAGGGTCACACTACTGACTTCTGCTCAACCTGTCCACCAGGGCACATGGGTCTTACTCTGTAAACCTTTCTAACTAGTTGGCTCCCAACTGATACTGTTGCATAGGATTTATTTCTGCTAGGATGAAAGACTTTGCATTTGTCTTCATTGAACCTAAAGATGTTTCTATCAGTCTGTGTGTCTAGCCCATGCAGTACTGGCTCTCTAGCACGAACTGCTTTCTTTCCTTTCCCTTGCCCATCCCTGCCATGTGTGGTAGCTTCTCCCCCTCTAGCCCCTTATCTACACAATCAAAAACCTTTTCCTATTGGGAATCAGGTTGGACACACATGAATTGCCATTGACAGGCCTGTGCTGCCTGTTGCAAATTGCCATCACCATCGTGTGACTAGATACAGATTCAGGGAGGATTTGCCCTAACGTCTGGGATTGAGGTAAAACTGCCCAGCCAGTAATTGCCTGGATCATTCTTCCTGAAGATGGATGTGACACTTTCCTGGTTGCTGTGACTCTTCCAATGCCATAGAGAATGGCCTTGTAACAAGAGCTAGCACTCTCAACAGCATGGTTGTTGAGAGTGGTCCCACGGGGAGTTGTATGTGTCTGCAGGGTAAAGTACTCTGGTTTAACAAGGAGGTGCTGGTACAAACCGTATCAGTAAGAAAGACATTCAGACCATGTAAAATATCACTTAAAATGCTAGTTATTAGAACTGACACTTTTGTATAAATGTGAGGGCATGTGGGTGGCATAATTTCTGATACTGAATGCCAGCTGCCTGCTGTCTTCTCCAGCACTGTATGCTGCCTGAGCTTATTCCACAGAGATTCTTGGGCTCTACCGATCCCCATGTCAATGGCCACATCCTGGGACAGGGATCCCAGTTGCCTGACCTCACTTCCGGTCTGTTTGGCTGCAGCATCCCAGATGCAGACCAGCCAGGACAGGATGGGCTCGTCTGTCTGGCGGGTGAATTCCCTCCGCAGCTCGCACAGCTCACCCGGGGATAGAGAGTACGTGGTGACCACTTCTGTTGGGGAGATGTGGGCTGAGAGCTGGCTTCCCTCAGCAGTGCTCCTAGTGCAGCCCGGCTGGTGAACAGGGACATGCTGGAGCTGATCAAACTGGACCAAGAGCTGGCTCCCTTCAGCAGGGCCCCTAGTGTGGCCCAGCTGGTGGAAAAGGATGTGCTGGAGCTGGTCGGCCATAAACCTTGGGAAAGATAAGATAACGAGGTGTCTGTGTTGCTTAGGCAACTGACACAAGGTCAAGCTGCTGGTGCAGAGAAGGTAATGAGCAAGGGAGATAACGAAGAAACTAACTGTCTTTGAAGGAAGAGTTATTGCTAAGGAAAAAAAGG